AAATCAGCGAATACAAGTATACTTAAAGGATTCCTAATATATTCACAGACGTATTTAAAAGTCTCAAACCATAATATTCTTCCTATAAAAACAGTTATTCACTATTTGGTAGAGCAAGGTCAACTGTCCAATTTGACACATTTTTCGATGATCTCACCAGGTGGCATGCATTGTCTCTCTTTGGATCTCAATATTTTCCCACTAGATGGCCATGACCTAGTGTTTTTGCAGTATTTCGACACGTAAATGTATGACGTCACCATTTCAACCATCAACGAACGCATGGAACTAAAACAAAGCTTAATATAAAGGAAAAACTAGAGAGGTGACGGAATTACCTACGATGTCGGAATATACCGCGTTTACCCTAATAACATAGGCTTACTTAACCATTCAATTAAATTCAAATTAATCACTTTACCTTAAATAATTTTAAAATAATAATTTTTGAAAATGACACAGAATAGGAATCAAATAATATCGCATTGTAAATTTCATGCAATTCTTATTTTTGACCATAATTCAATTTTGAGAATAATTTATCATCATCTTAATCATCAACTCTTCATCAGTTCATCTTAATAGTATTTACAATATAATCTGTCTATAAGTTTAACATTATAATAGGAAATGCTGAACTTGGCTCATGACTGACATTGTAAATGGTCATATGCGACAAGTAAACAATAATTTATAATCGAACACATGTGCACAGGACTCACATTTTCATGGTACCTTTAGGTCCGAGATTAGTTCTAAGCACATCTTGTATGCCTCGCGCTCCAGAAATATTAATAGCGAGAGCCTGGGAAGCTCTGGCAAGCTCAGCTTTAGGGTTTAATGTAGTAATTGCTGCCATTATATGCGTTTATAAACTTGGACTACCGGTACAGAACGACGTTTTCGACGTTCACACCTTGCATTTGCAACTTAATGACACGATGTTGACATACCGCTTTTCAGTTTTCCATCTAGCGAGAAAGTGACGGTGAAATTTTAAACATTTATGTTCATCGAAGATTTCCAGGCTACGCTTTAATATTTAATGGAAACCATTAAAGTAAAATGTTGAGGATTATAAATCAAAAATTGCGTAAAACCGAATTATGGGTAAAGACAATAAGGAAGACGACTTTCCCAAAAAGCAGCAACACCTCCTTTTGCGTGATTCATTGATGGATAAATTTTTTAACATAAATATTTGTTATTTGTATTGCGTAATCATTATATATTATCTTGTAATGTTTAATTGTTCAACTTAAAGTTTTATATGTGATCTATTATCACGTGACTGTTTTAAATTTTAGTGTATATTATGGATTTCATACCTTCAATTTTTTTTAAATGAATGAACAATGCATTCCATTATTCGGCCACTCGTGCGTTTTTAGAATTCTTCCTTGAAGAACGTGGTATCAATGAGAAGGCCGAAGGGGAATAAGGATTCGAATCGTATTCCAGAGGCTTCCAGATTTTTCGATCGCTATCATTTCGGGATTCATTACCAATAGAGACTTTAATTTTATACCCTAGCATGAGTAAAAAATCAACGTGTGTTAGAATAAACGGAACATGGTAGGAAATTACTTCTCCGACATTTCTGTCCGAAATTTGGGGCAAGTTTTAAACCGAAATTTATGAGTGTTTTAGAATTAAATTTTATTCCAGCTGAGCCTCTTGCAAGTTCTTTCTTGCTGAGGAGAACTAATACAATAAAATGAGTGAAATTTAACCCAACAATGGTATAAAAATCGATCGAAAAGAAAAGCAACCAATCTGTTTAGATTTTTGCACGGCAGGGTTAACATAACATAGTGACATAGTGATTTAACATAGTGATGTCGGCGCTGAAGTGTAGGCCTGATGTGGCCTGTCGCCGATTCTTTTCCTTTTCGTGCCTTGTTCATAGATCTAAACTCGTCTCTTACGACCGGATCTTTTCTAAACTGACGATTGTTTGAAGTAGCTACTAGACTTCCACCGGGTTCGATAAGGAGCTAGGCATTTCAAATCTGAACATATATTTTTCCATAGCTTTATCTAGTCTGTTCTTGAACGCGTTCATACTTGGAGCGCCAACGATGTCATCGGGGAGGCTGTTCCACATGTCGGTGATTCGAAGCGAGAAAAAATTTTGTCGCGTGGAGAAGTTGCAGCGCAATTTTTTTAGCTTATAGCCGTGGCCCCTGGTGTTGGTTTCTGTTTCTATGTCTAGGCAGTATTAGGTCATAATGTATTAACATAACATAAAATAGTGATGTCGGCGCTAAGGAGTAGGCCTCTGGGTGTGGCCTGTCTCCGATTCTTGAACTTTTCGTGACTTGTTGACAGAAGATCTAAAATCGTGTCATTTGACCGGATCTTTTCATGACTGACTACAGTTCGAAATAGCAACTAGACTTCCACCGGGTTCGATATGGTGCTAGGCATTTCATGTCTGAATATATATTTTCCATAGCTTTATCTAGTCAGTTCTTGAACGCGTTCATACTTGGAGCGCCAACGATGTCATTGGGGAGGCTGTTCCACATGTCGGTGATTCGAAGCGAGAAGAAATGTTGTCGCGTGGACAAGTTGCAGTGCAGTTTTTTTTTATTTTATAGCCGTGGCCCCTGGTGTTGGTTCTTGTTTCAAATTCTAGTAATCCTTCGGGGACCTTGTAAAAACCATGAGAATACTTCTATACTTCAATGAGGTCCCCACGCAGACGTCAATAACTGAGGCTTGGAAGCTTCATAATCTTTAATCTTTCTTCATATGACTTGCCCTTCAAGCCTGGAATTATCCTTGTTGCACGTCTTTGAACATTCTCTATTAAATTTCTGTCCTTTTCAAATCTCGGTGAACACACAACGTTTCCAAACTCTAGATTCGGGCGCACGACAGCAACAAACAACTGCTTCATCGCTTCTGCATCTAGGAACTCGTAGGAGCGTCTGATTGGACCAAGAAGTTTGTTGGATGTATTAGCTTTCGTTTCAACATGCTTAGACAATTTCAGCTCATTGTCGACATACCTAAACTCTGAGATCTTTTTCAACACTAGACTTTTCAATCATTACTCTCTCGTTCTAACCATGTCCTCTCATACTGTATTCTTGCTGTACATTGTTCCTCCCGAGGTGAAGTACGTTACACTTGCCAGCATTACGCTAGCTCGAAGTGCATGACAAAGGACGGTATTTCTGATTTGAAAGTAGATCAACGAAAGATATCCTCTGATGAGGGCAAAGCTAACGTTCTTAATCAGTTTTTCAGTAGCGTATTCACTGAAGAGAACTTGAACAGTATTCCAGCTATTGTGGAGCGCCCATCCGAAGTCCGGACCTCTTCGTGGTGGATGGACCCCTACGGAGCGGCCCGTCGCTCCGTTGGGCCAAACACGGACACAACTCCCGGACCTGCTGCGAGTCGTTTTTTCGGCTTGGCGGCGCCCCCATGCGGGGCGTCACTTCTACCCATCGTCTCTCCTTACCTCGGCCGCAGCTCGTCCATCTGACCAAGTCACTATTGCCCTCCTCCTTTTGATGGCGGGTATCCACCCTAACCCTGGCCCTGACCCTTGTGGCGTCTGCGGGCGCCCGGTCACCTGGAGGGGAACTTCCTTCCGGAGCTACCGGTGCGGCCTTTGGGTCCGCAAACGATGCTCTGGGCTCAGCAGGGCGTCCCAGTATTACACACGGACCTGCCCCGGGTGTAATTCCACTCAGCCCCCTATCCTCCCCCCACTCCCGGGTCGCCGGACGGTCCATTCTTGGCTAATGGACTTCCACATGCCCTAACTCATTTCCTCCAGTTCAACTGCAAAGGCCTGCGGCACTGCGCAGTTGAGTTGGCCACTTCCTGGTCACCCACTCCACCCTTGTCGCGGCCATACAGGAAAGCAAGCTCACCGAGGTCTCAAACCCCCCGACCTACCCTGTTTACACCCTGGTCCGCCGCGACAGACCCACCGGCACTCGCGCTGGCGGTGGCGGTCTCTGTTTTATCGTGAGACATACCGTCTCGTACTCCCCGATCCCATCAGACCATCTGTTCCCTGGCGATGCAACAACAGAACACCAGGGTATCTCCATCTCTATAGATGGTGCACAACTTCACCTATATAACATTTATATCCCTCCGCCCACCTCCTGCCCCCATGGCTTCGTGCCCTCACTGACCCCACTATTAGAACTGGACGCCCATAACACCATTATTATGGGGGACTTCAATGTTCGCAATCCAGCGTGGTTCTCCGCCACTCAGGATGATCGCGCGGCCGCCCGTGGCACAGCCTTACTCAAACAAATAGATTCAAGCCAGTTAGTCCTACTCAATCAAGACACCCTTACCAGGCTCCCGTCACACGGAGCCCCATCATCTCCTCCGACCACCTCCGCATCAAGTCCGACCACCTTCCCATTTCCATCTCCCTGGACTCCATGAACTCTCCCAATAACCGTCCTTCCCGCACCTACGTCAACCTCCGTCGTGCAGACTGGGACGGTTACGCCGCCGACACAGAAGCCGCTTTCAGCGCTGTCTGTTGCTCCCCCTTCCTCTTGCTCCCAAGGAGAGGTCTTCTTTAGGGGGGTTCTCACTTCGGCGGCCCGCCGACACATCCCTCGCGGATGTAGAAGGGATTTCATTCCCAATCTTCCACCATCTGCCATTCCTCTCATTCAAGAGCGCGACAGGACCCGTGCCTTGAACCCCTACCACCACAGCCTCCCGGACCTCAAAAACAACATCTCTGCAGCCATCACCACACACTCCCGCACAACGTGGATCAAGAAGGTCCAGTCAACCAACCTGCAGAGAAATCCATCCAAATTCTGGCTGCTCCTACGCTCTCTCTCCGGCAAGTCAACCAGACAAGCCCCTAACCAACCCAATTCCTTCAATAATTCTCATGTCACCACAGACCATATCATAGCCTCATCCTTCTGCCGCCAGTTCACGATGGTTCCCCACTACCAGCGTGACCCTTCCTGCAGGTCCACCTACCGAGGTATCAAGCGCCGTAATCCCCTCTCCGGCACACCCCCTGTGTTCACTCCGGATCAGACCAGACAGGCGGTGTGGAGCTCGGGTACCTCCACTGCCACTGGCCAAGACTCCCTCACTATCCTCCACCTCCGTCACCTGGGACCCAGTGGTATCCAGTACCTTACCCAACTTTACAATCTGTCCCTCGCCAAGGCCGACATCCCTGCCATCTGGAAGTCGGCCACAATCATTGCCATTCCAAAGGTATGGAAGCCGTCTGGTCCACATGACTCGTTGGGATTTACAGCTACCAGGCGCTTGAGAAGCTCTTTTTCGTGTATTTCAAAACCTGTTAACTTAGAGCCGACTGGGCGCTCCTCTTTATCTGAAATACTGTTCAAGTCCTCATCTGTGAACACACTGCTGAAGAACCGATTAAGAACGTTAGCCTTGCCCTCATCAGAGGATATCTTCCGTTGGTCTACTTTCAAATCAGATATACCGTCTTTTGTCCTACACTTCGAACTAGCTTACAAAAAGAAGGCTTTCAGATTCTTTTTTTTTTTTGCATTTATAGCGATATTTTCTTTTCGAAGTTTTTCACTGCAGTGCCACAGACTTTTTAAGCTTGATTTCGAGCTCTACAGGTTATCAGAATCGGTTATAATCAGAATCGCTGCAAGTTCGTAAATAACGCTTGCAGGCTTCCTTTTTGGTCTTTAGTTGAGTGAGCTTTTACTGTACTTTTCATACACTTAATTCAGATAAGAACTGAGCCTGCAATGTATGGCATCTCGATGCTTCTAACACAATGTTAAGCAGAAGAAAATGGCTCAAAGTAAAACAATATAATAATAATAATATTCTCCTTCCCATGCATATCTGCGAGATTTTTATTCTTATTGCATTTTTGAAAACTATGCGCAGGTCATCATTTATTATCATTCGAAGCATACTCATTAAATAAA